GATGGTAACAAGTTTCCGTAATAATGCTTTTGGACCAGTTTAATGGATCCCAGACACTGGGCTGCATGCTAAGAGACATCATCAAGCAACGGTGTCTGGGGCGGAGGGGAAAAATCCAGGTGGTGCTTGAGATTCTCACAAGGTGAGATGCTCTCCCTCAGTCCATACAAGCAAGACTGGCCTGTGGCCCTTCCAAAATAGATTCCGTCAGATGACCTGTTGGTCATCATTTCTGCTACTGTGTGCTTTCACTGCATTTTGGAACTTTTTTTTTTTTTTTTTTTTTTTGAGACAGAATCTCTCACTCTGTCGCCCAGGCTGCAGTGCAGTGGCATGATCTCCTCTCACTGCAAGCTCTGCCTCCCGGGTTCACGCCATTCTCCTGCCTCAGCCTCCCGTGTAGCTGGGACTACAGGCGCCCGCCACCGCGACTGGCTAATTTTTGTATTTTTAGTAGAGACGGGGTTTCACCGTGTTAGCCAGGATGGTCTCGATCTCCTGACCTCATGATCCGCCTGTCTCGGCCTCCCAAAGTGCTGGGATTACAGGCGTGAGCCACCGCGCCCGGCCCATTTTGGAACTTTCATTGCATTTGGATCTATAACTATTATTGAAGTTATAGATGTCACATGTTGTAAGGCAGAGCTCACTGGATTTTTATAAACTGATTGTATCCACGGAACCAGCATCCAGATCAAGGGAGAGAACATAACCAAGACCCTGGCAGCAATCCCTATAACTCTTCTGGTCATTTATGGCATCCCCTCGATTACCACAGATCGATTCTGTCAAAAGAACTTTTTCTTTTTTTGAGATGGAGTCTCACTCTGTCGCCCAAACTGGAGCGCAGTGGAACGATCTCAGCTCACTGCAACCTCTGCCTCCTGGGTTCAGGCGAATCTCCTGCCTCAGCCTCCTGAGTCACTGGGACCACAGGCATGCGCCACCTCACCCAGCTAGTTTTTGTATTTTTAGTAGAGACGGGGTTTCACTATGTTGGCCAGGCTGGTATCAAACTCCTGGCCTTAAGTGATCCTCCTGCCTTAGCCTCCCAAAGTGCTGGGATTACAGGCATGAGCCACCACACCCGGCCTCAAAAGAACTTTTAAAAATTGAGGCAGGCAGATCACCTGAGGTCAGGAGTTCAAGACCAGTCTGGCCAACATGGTGAAATCCCATCTCTAACGAAAATACAAAAATTAGCTGGGCATGGCAGTGGGCACCTGTAATCCCAGCTACTTGGGAGGTTGAGGCACGAGAATCGCTTGAACTCAGGAGGCAGAGATTGCCGTCAGCCAATCTCGCACCACTGCACTCCAGCCTGGGCGACAGAACAAGACTCTGTCTTAAAAACAACAACAACAACAACAAAGCAATTAGCTCAGGTTGGAATTCTGTAATTGACAGAGTCAAGTCAGTTTAGTGACAAGGTCAGAACAAGATGATGACTAAGGGCAGGTGCTTCTAAAGATCCGAGCTTCAATCCCATTTCTTTGCTATGTGCCTCTAGGAGAACGACTTAACCTCTTTAAGGCTTAACTTCCTCATCAGAAAAAGGGGATATAATGCGCCGTTGCAGGAATAAATGAAACACTGTATGTGAACCTAGCACGGTGCCTGGCAGTTTCCACTCTCTAGAGCATGTGTTGGCCTACTACGGCTTCCTGTTATATGAAGTTCTGCTGGAACAAAGACACGTATTCATTCACATATTATCTATGGCTGCTTTTGCACGATAAGGGGAGATTCGAATAGTTGCAGCAGAGACTGCATGGTCTGTAAGGTGTTCAGCACTATCAGGCCCTTTACAAAGAAGGTGTGACCCCTGCTGTAGGATGTGGGTCATGTGTGCTGCTGCACCCACAGGGACTAGAACACTCCAGCACATAGGAAGTACTCATGTGGCGGCTTTTGTGTGACATGTAACAAATAAACACTTACGTATTTAAGTCATCAACAGTGGGTTTTATTTTGCAGTTGAATACATTCCTAAACAATATTGTAAGAATGGAGTGAAATCATAAAAATCAAGCCTGGTAACGACTTGAAAGAAGGCAGCCCTGCCCGATACCTAGAACAACAGACTTACAAATTCTAGCAAGAGAAGCACCTACGGTTAATAAGAGACACTAAACTTGCAGCCAGAAGAACACAGAATTTTAGCTGTGCCATTAGCTAATTGGTAGATACAGACATGGGGAAATTCTCAGAATCTTAGCGCACTCAGCGATGAGGCCTAAACACTGCTGCTGATTTCTGGTTTAGACAAACAGCTCCTGCAGGACTGGAATTGGACAAGGTTGGAGTCAGGAAAGCCATCAGGAGCTTAAAGGAATTCAGGCAGGCACAGAACGGGGTTGTTAGAAATAACGAGATAACGGTATCTTCAGGTGTTTTTAGAATCATTATTTTACCATGAAATAAGAGCATGAAACAATATTCCACAGAACTTGCTGGAATATTTTCCTGGACTTGAGGAACTTGCTGGAATTGTTTCCTGGACTCTCTTAAGAAGCTGTGTGTGCCTAGTGAATGGAAACCGCAACTACTTCTTGCTAGTTGTCACTTTATCTCACCTTTCGTGTGAAGTCTGATGCCAGACACGGTGTAAGAACAAAATAATTGTTAGCTGAATAGGAATGGGAGAAGGTAGAATGAGATTTGGCAGGTCTGTGGTCATATGCCACACTGTAAAAAGGGCTGGGAGTCAGGGAAGCTTGGATTTGAAGTACAAACTAGAAAGCGACAGAGTGTTTGGAGGTGGGAATAAATTGAGAAAATACAACTTGCTCTCAGTTTTAGGCCCGTGACAGATCCGCTCATTTGCCACCGGCTCCTCTCGGAGCCAGGCTCGACCTGCACTGCCTCTGAGGGTTCTTCCTTCAGATGCTGCCGTCCCACCTGTGGCCACCTTCTCTTCACAATGAATGTTCTCATCCCATTTCAGAGCTTCGACAGACATTCATAATAATCATAAGATTCTTGAATCCAACTTTCCACCCAGATCTCTTTCCTGTGCTCTAGGAAATACACCTTCTGGCCCTGCTTGCTGGATGCCTCCACTGAATGCCACTGATGCCCCTGCCTCCTCAAGCTGGAATGGGACTCATCTTCACCCCGGGTATGGTCTTCCCCAGGGATGGACACTACTGTCCACCCAGATGGCAAAGCTGGAAACCTGAGCCACTACAAGCCCTCTTCTCCACCTTCTCCACAAGTGTATTCATTCAACCACATCCTCTCCTACTGCCCCCAACCCCAACCTCTGGAATCCATCCAGCTCCTGCCGGCCCCTCAACTCTCCCTTACTTGTAGCCAGCACCATCTCCAACCGGACTCATCACTAGAACCTAATGGCTTTCTTGACTCCAGTCTGGTCGTATTCCAATCTGCCTACAGTTCTCTTTCTAAACCAGAAATCAGGTCATATCACACGCTCTTTTAAATGCATTAACAGCTTCTCAAACACAATAGTTTGGGTATAGAACTGTGAGGGCCGATACAAAGCCCTTGTCCACATGTGATGACTGAGTACTTGAAACATGGCTCATCTCAACTGAGAGGTGCTGAGGTGTCAAATACACACCAGATTCGAATATTTCACAGACAAAACAGACAGCATGAAAATATCTCATTCGCAATTATTTAGACTGTGTGTTCAAACGATAATGTTTCTGGATATAGGAGGTTAAATAACACATTTGTAACATGAATTTCACCTGGCTGTTTGACCTTTTTAACATAATGCTAGAAAAGTTACAATTGCATATATGGCTTATTTCTCCTGACTGTAATGGCATAGAAAGCCCTTCACCATACAGCTCCCTGCTGGGCTTCCAACCTTCCTTCTCTCACTGCCTTTACACTGCCCTTCTCCTGTCCCCCTCAACTCTGGCCTTCTCTGCAGGCTGCTGAATAACTCACTTGCTTTCTGGTTTTTGTACGTGGGATGCCTCATCTCTCTGGTACATTCTTTCTATTAGAGCAAGTCCTGCTGGTCTCCCAGGATGCAGGTTTGCAGAAGGATCTCCTGAACTCAAATGGTGTCTGTCGCCCCCACTGCCCAACACCACTGCTCTCCGGGGAGAACCTGTCACGCATCCTATATCTGCACGGCTCCCCACCGGGCTGATAAATTCCCCGTGTCTCATTCACTACTCAATCTACCGTGCAGGGACTAGTAGAAGTTCCAGGAACTCAGTATGCATAGAATCAAAGAATAAAAGCATAGCCAATGAACTTATAGCTCCAAAAGGTGCCTAATAAAAGGTAGCTTCAGATATAGGCTTAAGCAAGTGCCATCAACCCAAAGAGACAAAAATACGAGGAAGCTATGCTCTACATTTTGGATTCAATTCGGTGCAACCTTTATCCAGAACAATCTGACATATTTAACAACCTTAAAATGATCGTACCCATTAAGTGGGTAAATCCGCGCCATTGGATTTGAACTACTGAACAGTTAGCTATGAGCACAAACACAAACGTACTCAGTTCACTGGGGCCATATCTATAATAGCAAAAAACTGAAAAGAGCGAAGCATCCCATCAGTTACAATGGAAGCTGTAAATGAGACATGTCCCTCTGGTGGAATGGCATGCAGTCATGAAAAAGAAGGAAATGGACTCCATGTGCTAAAAAGGAAAGATTTCCCTTGAGCAGGGAGGGAAAGCAGAGGGTGCTATACTATTTCCTCACATTTGTGTATTTCAAAGATATATGTTTGCATATGCATCTACACAGAATTTATCAGAAATATACTCAAACGTGTGTGTTCACGAGATAACAGCTCCTGGGGGCAGAGGTGGGAGGGCAGCCATCACTGTGTACCTTCTTTGAACTTGCTAATCATAGGCACGAATACTTTTATTATAAAACATATTAATGAGGGCTTCCTGCATGGACCACAGAAAATCACCAATTATTTCACCACCCCTGCCCAGCCCCCCACCAAGATGAACAGATGGTAAAACAGCAACATTAAGTTGACATCACCTACCGTGATCTTTTTGTGATCAGGAAACTCGAGGCCAAAATAGTCACCTTCCACGAGGTTGAGGTGGTTGCAAACTGCATCCAGCAGCACCTTCCCAGGAGCTCTTTGCTGTGAGCAGAAACAACAGGGGTTATCCCTGAAGCAGGCAGGGATGAAAACAAACCACAGCTCCTGGCTGCAGGAAACCTCTGGATTCCTAAGTCTATGGGTCCTTCACAGCTTGCCACCGCCCACCTCCGTGACACCCTCAACACCAGCCCCGTCTACACCTCCGTATCCCAGCACCTGCTGTTCCCATAATTGGATGCAAATCTCTCAGCATTTTCTTCCCAATCCAATCCCAGGCATCACTCCTCCCTCCTTATTCAATTAATTGACTATTTTTTTTTTAGAGTAATTTTAGGTTAACAAAAAGTTGAGCAAAAACTTCTTCCCACCACACAGTGTCCTCTGTTATTAACATTAGTGGTAGAGATTTGCTACTGTCGGGGAGCCAATATTGATACAGTATCATCATTCACACTCCATAGCTCACATAAGGCTCACTCTGTGTGCTGTAAAGTTCTATGACAAATGTGTTGTGACCTGTCTGCATTACAGTATCATACAGAATAGTTTCACTGCATTATATGAATTTCACACTAAAAATCCTCTGTGTTCCAGCTATTCCTCCCTCCCTCCCTCCTTCCTAATCCCTGGCGACCACTGATCTTACTGTCTTTATAGTTTGCCTTTCCCAGAATGTCATCTAGCTGGACTCATACAGTATGTAGCCTTTGCAGACTGCCTTCTTTCATTCAGTAATATGCATGTAAGGTCCTTCTGTGTCTTTTTTTTTTTTGAGACAGAGTTTGCTTTTATTGCCTAGGCTGGAGTGCAATGGTGCAATCTCAGCTCACTGCAACCTCCGCCTCCTAGGTTCAAATGATTCTCCTGCCTCAGCCTCCCAAGTAGCTGGGATTACAGGCATGCACCACCATGCCAAGCTAATTTTATATTTTTAGTAGAGATAGGGTTTCTCCATGTTGGTCAAGCTGGTCTCAAACTCCCAACCTCAGGTGATCCACCTTCCTCAGCCTCCCAAAATGCTGGGATTACAGGCATGAGCCGCCGTGCCCTGCCCCCTCCATGTCTTTTTATGACTTGGTAGCTTATTTATTTATTGAGACAGAGTCTTGCTTTTGTCACCCAGGCTGGACTGCAATGGTACGATCTCAGCTCACTACAACCTCAGCCTCCCAGGTTCAAGCGATTCTCCTACCTCAGCCTCCTAAGTAGCTGGGATTACAGGCACCTGCCACCATGCCCGGCTAATTTTTTTGTATTTTTAGTAGAGACGGGGTTTCACCATGTTGGCCAGACTGGTCTCGAACTCCTGACTTCAGGTGATCTACCTGCCTCAGTCTCCCAAAGTTCTAGGATTACAGGTACGAGCTGCCGCACCTAGCCAGTGTGTTTATTTTTACTGTGGAATAATATTCCACTGTCTGGATGTAATACAGTTTGTTCACCTACTGAAGGACATTTTGGTTGCTTCCAGTTTTGACAATTATGAACACAGGTGTTATAAATATTTCTGGACAGGTTTTATGTGGACATTAAGTTTTCAACTCATGACCCCGGGTCTTTTTTGTGACAGTCAAAGCCCTGTTCCTGTGCCTCTCTCCTTGTCCACAGATGTGACATGGATGGTTTTCTTCTCTATATTCCTGTAGCACTCTGTGCAGTATCTCATCGAGACTATACCCACATTGAAGGGAAACGCCATATTTTTTCATCCCTGTATCCACAATGCCTAAAGACCAACCAATTTTGTTGAAATGAATGATCAATAAAAGGTATCCATTCCACTGTATTATAGATGGTTTAGTATCTATGTGTCTATGTCCCCAAGTAATATCAGGTCACTTCTTCATTTTTGTATTCTTATTGCCTAGCACAGCACCTGGCAATCAATCACTGTCTGCTGAAATCCATACTATTCATGCATTTTCTATATGCTGGATCTATAGGGAAAGGGAATATTATATGTAAGAACCCACATTCTATCCTAAAGAGCTTAGAATCACATGCCTCAGTTTATCTTCATTATGTACATTCCCAGTGACTTATAGTAAAATGGATCAATTCCACCATAAAGATCAAATCTTGGGAGACAAATGCTTTAATGACATTGCCATTCACAGTTATCAGCCTGACCTCATTATCAGCTCACCTCAGCCTCCCAAAGTGCTGGGATTATAGGTGTGAGCCACTGCACTCAGCCCACAGTTACTTGTTTTATACTTCTCACCTCTTCCCTGAGAACAGAGCATTTTAGGAACCAATTAGTAACCCAGGTGACTGAGTGATAGCAGGAGTCAAAGCCCACCAAGTACACGGATGGGCATGTCCATGAGTCTGTACCAACATGAACAGAGAAGCCAAGAAAGATGCTGCTTGATGTTCAACATTAAGCACTTTTTTTAAACAGATAACACTTTACACCCCCACACTAGCGCTCACTGCAATCCAGAAGATACACATTTTCCACAGATGATCCCAAACTCGCCAGGCTCTAGATCTTAAATGCCTGACATTGGCAGAGTCATGTCACCTGCAGGAATGTCAGGAGTCACATGTGATTGTGTGGAACCCCTATTGTTGCCTGCCAAGCTCTCCTCTTCTGCAGGCGGCTTATCCAGAGGAAACAGTCAGGAGAGCACAGTGGAACACTGGTCACCAATCTTATCTTCCACTGCTTTGCTACAGCAGTGTGCCCTGTTTCCGACGCACAGGGTCAGACTAGCTTTTCCCAGCTCGGTTGATGTAGGGAGCGATGAGCTGCTCCATTCCAGTCCCTAATCTTGGGTCTGAGTCCCCACACCAGCTGCCAAGAGCTGCATGGTTAACTTATGCACAGCAACTTATTCGGGCTCCCACCTCTCACTCCAATAACATCTGCAGACATTAATAAGAACATTATAGGCTAGGTACAGTGGCTCATGCCTGTAATCCCAGCACTTTGGGAGGCCGAGGCGGGTGGATGATTTGCGGTCAGGAGTTCGAGATCAGCCTGGCCAACATGGTGAAACTCCGTCTCTACTAAAAATACAAAAATTAGCCAGGTATGGTGGCGGGTGCCTGTAATCCCAGCTACTCAGGAGGCTGAGGCAGGAGAATTGCTTGAACCCAGAAGGCGGAGGTTGCAGTGAGCTGAGATCACACCACTGCACTCCAGCCTGGAAAAAAAAGAATGTCATAAAAAATGGACCAAAGAATAAGAACTTGTGGAAGAACTCCCATACTGTAAGATTTTCTTTTAAAGGAAAAACACATTCCAGCTTCAGAACCTTCGTTCTCATAACTCTTAACATTTCCTATTTGTGATGAAAATAAACCACCAATCATCTGACCAGCTGGCAAGCACTCACGTTTCCCAAAGAATTCCTGGAACTAAGGGAATTTGACAACTTCATCTAGATTTACAGAGTCAATGAGACTTAATAATTCAATACTAGAAATCTTAAAAAGTTTTAAACAAAAAAAACCTAATATATAATGGATGTCTTTATGCACATGGTGTTAAACTGAGCACTTTAGAAGAGGGGACAGGGAGAGTTACCCTCTACACTGGGTACTTCATGGCGTCAGCAGCGGTTTCTGTGCATGTTTGGAGTGCTTTTGGTGATAATATGAGGGCGTGTTGAGTCCTAGAACCTGCAGCCTTGCTGCCGCAGCACTGCACACTCCTTAGGGCCTGTCAGAGACAAGTGAAGCAATGATGATTAACTAGCTGCTTGTCACGGGTTTGCAGTAGAGACTTAGGATCTAGCTAATAAATGGCAAGTCGATCCTTAAAATTGTTAAAACTTATTATTTTATGCAAATGTTTATAGAAAATGACTTTTCTTTGGCACCAAATTTTTCATAGGGTGATGTCAACTTACCATTTCAATAATATCTTTATAGCTTCTAAAATTCATCTGTAAAATAGATGTCCATAAAGCATTATGCGAATTCCCCTGTGAATGCTGGCTATATCTACGGTTGTAAGGGCACTCCTGTATGTAACATCACTGGAATTTACAAGGGCTTAAATGCACCCACTACATGACAACGGCATGGGTAAATGGCACTACAATGGTGATATGGTTTGGCTCTGTGTCCCCACCCAAATCTCATGTTGAATTGTAATTCCCAATGTTGGGGGAGGGACCTGGTGGCGGGTAGCTGGATCATGGGGGCAGATTTCCCCCTTGCTGTTCTCCTGACAGTGAGGAGTTCTCATGAGATCTGATGGTTTAAAAGTGTGTGGCACCTCCCACTTTGTTCTCTCTCTCTCTCCTGCTCACCATGGTAAAACAGGCTTATTCTCCTTCACCTTCTGCCATGACTGTAAGTTTCCTGAGGCCTCCCAGCCACACTTCCTGAACAGCCTGTAGAACTGTGAGTCAAGTAAACCTCTTTTCTACATAAATTACCCAATCTCAGGTGGTTCTTTATAGCACTGTGAGAATGGACGAATACAAATGTGCTACATGAACTGTGCATTAACACCCCAATGTGTAGCGGGCAGCTGAGCCTAAAGCGCTTCCAGGCATAAAGATACCCTGATGGTCGAGGACTTCCTCTCCCTTTCTTTTAGGACTTGGTCCTGAACTATCTAAGGGTGTCAACGCACACCAGGTTAAAGCCTGCTTCTGAGGAAGCTTCTCGGAGAAGAGAGGCAGAGAAACAGCTTGTATTTCACTAAGAAAATGATTCTTCCTTTTGTTCCTATAATACTTTTACTTCATCAGCCTGCAGCATAATTTCTCTGTACTTCCCAGTGAGATTTTGAACTTCACTCTGAAGCGCATTCTGTTCCACGTCACATCCCAGAATGCAAAATGGTGCAGCCACTATGGTAAAACAGTATGGCAGTTTCTCAAAATAATGAAAATAGTCTTATCCTAGGATACAGCAATCCCACTTCTGAGTATACAACGAAAATAACTGAAAGCAGGGTTTTGTAAATCCACGTTCACAGAAGAATTATTCACAATAGCCAAAAGCTAGAAGCAATCCAGGTGTCCACTGCTGAATGAGTGGATCAACAGTATGAGGAGGACAATTACACACAGTGG